GCCTGGGAGTTTCAATACAAATGATGCAGTGCAGGGCATTTCCCTGGCACAAACCCCTTGGGTCTGTGGATGTTCTCAGCAGGACAAGGCTTTTAAACAAATGTTGACGTTGAGCTAAATTCATCCTTGAATTAAAAGACAAGGAAGGAATTTCCTGTCTCAGCCAGCTGCCAGTTCTCCATCTCCTGGCAGCAGAGATTTGGCTTTGACCAAGGCAGTGCCAAGGGAAAGCTGGAATGGCCCTGCTTGAGGGGGGTCTGCTCTGGCACAGGCAGCTGTGCCACTGTCGTGCTGGGCTGGATGTGGGGCTGTGGAAGATGATATGTTGCACTTCTTCCAAGAAATAACAAGTTTTTCCTGTTGTGGAAAGCCTGTAAGGATGACACTGGGCCTGCTGAAGTCACCAGGCTTCTGCACCCAGTGCTGGTGGGGTCAGCTTCTCATCTCCAGTGTCCATCTGACGAGGAAATGACTGATGAGATACGAGAATCTCTAAAAGATGTGGTGGTGTCTCTTTGTTTTAATTGAACACCTTTTTTTTTCTTTCCCCCCCGGTGTTGGATGGCTCAGCACAAGATGGACTCAGCTCCCTGTGGTTGTGTCATGCTCTGTCCTGAGAACCAAACTGGCAAGTATGTGAAATTCTGTTACAAAGAAAAATCCAAGATGTCCTCAGAAGCCAAGCGACCAGAACTTTGAACAGTAAATGCAGGCAAAAATGCTTAGTCTATTTGTCTATTTCTCTCCACTTTCTGTTAACCATCTACAGCTATTTTTAAAGTGTTTTCAATTTTTTTGCTCCTTAGCAGAGGTGAAGGTGTGAAGGTGCATTTGTGGTTTGCTAAAAAAAAATAAAAGAAACACAATTTTTTTTTTCTCTTGCTCTGCTGCGGGGATCCTGAGCTGCAACTGCCGGGCTTGGGCAGTCAGATTTGCTCACCGGGTAGTTTAGACTGCCACGCTATGGCTGAGCAGGGATTTGCTCTCAAACAGCCGCTGGGAAGGAGGCAGTGCCGCCCTGCGCCCGTGTCCCTGTGTGCGGCAATGGGAGGGGAGAGGAGCAGCAGAGTTAGGGCTTTCCCTGCAAAAGCGTGGAGTGGAAATGCAAATGGCAATTGCATTCTGTAGTGCTCTTCCGTCTGACTTGGGAAGGGCAGCTGGAGGTGAATAGTGAGGCTAATTATGACAGCCAGAAGCACAGAGCAGAAAGGTTAAACTAATCCTCATTTGTATGTGGCAGCAAAGGGCATCACATGCTTTTAGCCAGGAATTTGATATGATTGAAAAAAGAAACGCCATAGTTACTAATCAATGCCACAGTTAGAGCTGACTGCGGGGCTCAGCTCCTGCTCTTGTTCTTGTTCTTGTTCTTCCTGCCCTGACTCTGCAAGCTGAACTCTGGGTGTTCCCGTGCTGCAGTGGGACAGTGCAAGATGTGAGCGGGACACCAAAGCAGATGGGGTTCTTCAAGGGCAGGTTTGTGCCAAGACATCTCCTGGCTCCCAGGAATCCCACGTGTTGCCTTGGCTGGGGCATTTCTCGTACGGGCTGCAGCCTGCAGTCCCTGTGCGGCACAGGAGCCGCCCCGCAGCCGCGTCCTCTGCTGCCGCTGCGGGGAACCCGGCGGCCGTCAGAGGGACAGCCTCCTGCACCCAGCACTGGGGCTGATGTTCTTGCGTGTCGGTTCAGAAATATGCTGGAAAATACCCTGCCTTTGCCACGTATTTCCAGGGAAAGTGTCCCCTCCGTGCTGGCACAGGGAGCAGAGCGGGCGGGAGGGTGCGGGTCTGCAGGGGCAGCTCGTCCCTCCCGCACAGCTGGGCAGGAGCCCTGCTGGAAGCGGGGCCGTTATCCTGTCCCAGCCTCCGGTGGCCCCGGGCTGGTGTGACCAGTCCCCAGCAGAGCCCGTGGGGGGGCCGGGCTGGGGAGGCTGGAGCAGCAGCGGCTGCTGGGGGGGCCCTGGGCAGGGCGAGTGTCTTCCCAAGTGAGCCTGTGAGCTGCACACAGAGTGCTAGGGGTTGGAAGGGACCTCTGGAGATCTCCTAGTCCAAGCCCAGGCATTTAGTCGGTGTGTGACAAATTGGTTCGTATTTGAAGTAGGTGTGTCTGTGTGTGAAAGGCTGTTACGTTTCTCGATCTTTATCACAGCAAGCGGGCTGTGCAGGGGTTGCTACACTGTTTTTTAAATTTACGTTTACTCACAACCACCACCTTTCCAAACCAATAAGGAAGTGGAGCAATCTGGAAAGGTTTAGCCGATTTTGTACTGGCAGTGCTTTGTTTCCTTGCAGTTAAAAAAAGAAAGAATCAGAATATTTATGAATTTAAATCTTATTTTTTTGCAAGTCTTTGAAGCAGTCATTTTGATTTATGTGGGCTCCATTTGATCTCATAGGTAAAACCAGCCCTTCGTTGCTTTGAAATATTTTATTTTTATACAAATCATCATCTGTAACCTGCAGTGGTTTCTCTGCTGCTGAACACAGTGCAGCTTTTAAAGACCTGCTGTTTCCCTTCTGAGAAACGTTGCTTTGCTCAGGAACTGCTGCTTTTGACAAATGATCCTACACACTCCAGTTAGGAAAGGTATGTGGGGGTCTTAATTCCCTGGATTCAGAATAGTGACTAATGCAATCCATTCTGCTTGTTGTTATTTGTGGAAAACAATCAATACGTTTACAGGAAGTCTGAATGAGAGCAGAGGAGTTTTCTGTCTGATCTTAATTGTCGGGGTTTTGCCAGGGGAGAGGGGAATGCTCCAGTTCTGGTAGGACTGAAGTGAGGGGTAACCCCACAACTGGGGTGCTGAGGGGTTTCTGGCTGTGGGGGTTCTGATCTGCTGTTTGCTGGTGCTGTTCTTGGAGCTCCTCACCTGTGAAAATGGGCTCTGGCATCTTCAGGAAACACTGCTGAGCGACAGCCGGGCTAGGAAAAAGTCACTTCAAAGCTCTGGATAGCCCAAGGCAAAGTCAGCTTGGTGGGTGAAGCTGATTTGTTTGGAGTCCTCTCAGTGTGATGGAGGAGAAATGTCTTTAAAATAAGCAAATCCATCTGGAAAGGAATTGACTACAGGAACTCACCGAACTGTTTACTTTCTTTAAGGAAGCACCCACCCTTGGTGTGGGCAACTGTTTGCCATAGCAGGGCAGCACCCTGAGCCGCAGGGCTCAGAGCTGGGCTGGCCCAGGTGCAGCCCCAGGTGCAGCCCCAGGTGCAGCCCCAGGTGCAGCCCCAGGTGCAGGAGATGTGGGGGCTGCAGAACAGGAGGGGCTGGGCTGAGACAACGGGTGAGGAGGGTCCCTGGGCAGTGGGAGGGGGGGATTTGCTCCTGTGCCAGGTCAGTGAACAGGTCTCCGGGGCCTCTCCTGCTCATGCATTTCCAGAATAACGAGGGCTCCTGTTGGTACCCTCCTGGGGGGATCCTTCCACAGCTCGACACGTGCCAGCTCGGGGGCTGTGGCTGAGCTGTGGGGCCTGGGGGGGCCCAGTGGTGCCTGAGGGGACAGGCTGAGGCATCTGGGCTGGCTGGGCTGGCCAGGCTCCTGCATGGGGGTGCTGGGGAGCAGGGGGGGGGCTGAGGTACAGCAGGGCTGCAATAGCCGTGGGCTGAGAGCGCTTTGTTCTCTGCTGCTGGTGGCTTTGGTGTCCCTGGGGAGTGGAAATCGTGCAGGGAGGCTGGGGCTGGCTGGAACTGCTGCTTTTGTGGCTGTTCAGTTCTCACAGCCATTGCAGCTGCTTGTAGACTTGTAATGTTCTGTCTTTTACTGTGCTATGTAGGAAATTGAGTCTATTTCTGTTTAAATACTGGGGTAATAGAGCCTGCTATTTAGTGAAAGATTTATGTAAATGGCTCTTTGTTTCACACGGTTGGGCCTTACAGAGTCTGAGTTACACCGGTGATGCAGTTAGGGCGCTGCTGCCGCTGCCGAGCAGCTGCCAACTGCTGGGTACCACAGCACTTGACAACCTTGCACTTTAAAAATACATTTAAGAAAACATTGTAGAGCTGGATTAGAGATCTGCCTGTTCTGGAGCTGTCGAGCTTTTTAGCTTAGAGCCCAGGGTTTATTTTACATGTGAATTGTGGAGCACCTCTTACTGCTATCACAGCTGATTCCCTACGCTGACTGAGCCCTAACGTGGAAATGGATTTCCCAGCTTTCCTAAAGCTTGGTATTTTGTTTAATGTCAATCTGCTGGTCAGTAGTTCTTTAGTCTGGCATTCGGATTGGCATGGAGGTTGCAGTAACTTTTGAGTATTGAGTTCAATAAATCATCTTGTGCTTTACAACAGAGTCTGGTATTCGGGTGAATGTTCGTTGCTTTTTGCAACGGAGAGTGAGGTCCTCGTAGGCTTCTCCCATTTCTAGCCAGAGGAGTTTTGTAAGTTCCAAAATAACCTATTCATCCTCAGAAGTGTTGCTCTTGTGCATACATTTCGTATACAAACTGTTGCCCCACAGGCAACCGATACAATTCTGGCATCATTCCTTTTTGGCGCAGGTCCTGGAGTGAGAATCTCTTCCTTCCAGCCTTGAAACCACCCGTCTGCACAGCCCGAGGGAAATGAGGTTACCCTGAGCAGGAGCAGGCAGCACAGCCCCCCAAGGGCTGCCCCCCAAGGGATCCTCCTGCTCTCACCCTCCTCGGCAGCTTTGGCAGGGACACGTTGAGCACCAGGGGCTGCGTCCAGGGGGGCTGCACCCCCTGCCTGCCCAGCTCCCTGAGCTCAGCAGTGCCCAGGGACACTCTCTGCGGGGCTGCTGAGCCCCCGTTTTGCTCTCGAAGCAGTGTTGAGGGGTTTGGGTGTGTTTTCTAATCCTACTTACTAATCTTACTGAATTCTTCCTTCCCGCTAACTGGAGACTGCAGAGTGTTAATGCCAGCCTGCTCACACCTGCTGAGAGAAGCAATGAAGCTGCTTCTGACTTGATAAGTGACAGCAATTTTCTTTCACCCCTGTGAGAAGTGGTAACCTTTACCCTGTGCATTTTTATCCCAGCCCCATGGAGAAGCACATCACCTCTGTAGGAACAGTAGAGAAGGAAACCTCCAAATATGAGAATGGGGATCAAACACTCCCCTGGGATAAGTATTTGTGGACTTTAAAGTTCTATTCCAAAATGTTTGTGGATGCTCTTTATCATACATCTGGAGATGTCTTCTGTCTTGCAGCTCAGGTTTAATGGTGGCTCCTCATTCCAGGCTTGTGCTCCCTTTCTAAGCAAGTTGTTAGTGAGGTTGCCCAGACAGTCAACAAAGCTGAGCCCTGGTGCTGCTCTTGCTGCCTCCTTCACAAGTCAACCGTTCTTCCTGCAGATGCTTTCATGAAGTTGTCACGGCACAGATGCAGCTGTTCCAGAAGGTGCTCTTTTGTCCAGGAGAAGCCTTTAACCTGGGCTGCCTGCCAGTTGGCTTCTCGCTCAGCAGTGTTCTGTTCTTGATCTGGGTCATTAAATATTAAAAAGCAAAGTGATTCTAAAAGCCAACCATTTTTTTTGGAGATACTTAAATAACTGTAATTTGTTTCCTAATAGATAGTTTCGTCCTTGTCACTGGATCCAACTCCACACAAAAACAAATGTGTGATGAGACAGGGCTGTTCTGTAAATCTTGTACACAGTGTGTTTGCCCAGAAAATGAGCCTGAGAATATAAATTGAGCTTGGGACAGAAATAAACTAAACTTCAGTTGGTGTGTTGGTCTGTAACTCAGTCTCCCCAGCTTTTCTCTTGTCCTGGTCCTTGCCCCCCTGGTGTCAACAAAAGCCCCCTGCCTGGCAGAGCAGCAGAAATACTGGCTTATACTTAAAAACCCCACCAGATGGACACCACCCCCCTACAATGCTCTGTTAATTTGCCACCGTTTCTGCTTGCACATTTGCTCTCTTGCAAAGTCTTCCAACTACTTTGTTTTTATTAAAATAAATGGTAGTATTTGCTGCTGAAACTCTTCCCTTCTGATTTTCTTGTATCATCAGATTTGTCTACGGGGATTATTTACTGGAGGAGAATTGCAATGTGCCAGAATGTAATTCCTGGCATTTGAAGAAAGGTAACTGTTGAGAGAAATTGAGTCAGGTTATAAAACCTTAATGCTTCACTGTGGTTTATCTTGTTTAAAAGGATCACATTTCCTAATGATTTTTTTCTAAATTAGAAAAGTTACTTTTAAAGAGAAGTTAAGAGGAAAAACATTCTCTAGGAACTGATTATATATTTAGCTTGAATGGGCAAAATTGCAGCCTTGAGCATGGTAGGATGTAACTGGTGGTGGTTGTTTTACAAGCAGGA